ATGGATGGATGGATGGATAGAGAGATAGATAAATAGATAGATAGAGAGATAGTTTTAATTTGTTTTCACTTATTCAGTCCAAATAAAAGAACCTGGAAAATAAAAACTTTCTCTGAACCAGTTTATTCTGATGGACCTGACAAACTTGTACATCCCATATTTCATCACTAGAGGGCGCACTAGAGGAGCCTTACCTCCTGTCCTTTATCTCCTCCCTCCTTCATCTCTTTCCTCACCGCCTTGGGCCCCCCTTTTTTCTTTCTTCCACTTTCCTTTCCTCTTTCCCTTTCCTCCCTCTGTACTTCTATTGTTTCCTCTCTTTCATCCTTCTTCCTCCTCTTTTTTCTCACTGCCTCTGTTTCTCATTACTTCCTTTGCTCATCTTCACTTTCATCATCCACATTTTTCCTTCCCTCCTCCTTTCCTCCCTGTTTCCTTTCCTTTCTACTTCCCACTTTCCCACTTTTTCTTCCTTGCCTTTCTTAATCCCCCTTTCTCGCTCTCTTTCCCAGTTCTGTTTCCCCCCCTCTCTCTTTTTATCTCTGTTTTTCTTCTTTTCCCCGCCTCTTATCCTTTGACCCTACCTCACACTTTTACATCCTTTCTCTCTCTCTCTCTTTTCATCTGGACCCTTCTGTCACTTTTCTCCTTCTTCCATCACTGTTGTCTATTCTTTCCTCATCACCATCATCCCCTCTTTTTTATTTCTCATCCATTGCACAAACTCTTTCCTCCGTTGAGTTTTTCTCTCTTCATATCCTCCCTTCTCCTTTACCTCTGGCATGTCAGAGCTCGAGGAGGAGAGAGAGAAAAGTGTGAGTGTGTTTGTGTGAGAGAGAGAGAGAGAGGGAGTGTGTGAGAGAGAGGGAGTGTGTGTGTGAGAGAGAGAGAGAGAGAGAGAGACAGATAAAGAGAGCGGGGCGTGCAGACTGAAGCTGAGCAGCAGGAGTGGCGTCCGTCCTGGTAGATGTGGACAATCTGATCTCAAGTGTCACTGAGAGCAAAGAGACTTCAGGACTCGTCCCACAAAAAGAGAGAGAAGAAAAGAACGAGAGGATCTGATCACCAGGACAAACTTTTTCTTTCTTTTTCTGCAGGACGATCTTTCACCTCCCAAACCAACACAGAGCCTGAAGCTGCTCCAGAATAAATCCTCCTCCACCCGAGGGACGAATAAAGAAGAAGAACAACAACAGAAAAATGTTGCCTTTGGGCAGTGTTGGATAAATTACCCTCCTCTGAAGTCCAGAAGAAAAGAGGAATAAAGAAGAACAAGTGAAGAGGATGTTGGGATTTGTGGCATCCAGTCAGGTGCAAAGAAAAGTAGATTTAAAGATGAAAATAAAGACGGAATAACAGGTTTTCTTTCATCTCAAAGGCAGAAAAAAAGGAGAAATAAAGTTTGTGAGAACTTCAGCATCTCATGTCCAGATAAAGGAGGAAGAGAGTGAATACAGGACACAGATTCTCAGCGTGAAGAGGACAAAAAGTTTATTTTAATATATTTTTCTGGAAGAAAACAACTGGACACAAAACGGGAAAAGCTTGAGGACAAAAATGCTCAAGTGAGGAGACAAAAGTGAAGGAATAAAAGGAAACAGAGGAGAAGAGGAACATCTGGAGGATACAGGAGGAGAAAAGAGGACCAGAGCAGATACAGAGAAGAAAGGGAATAATCAAGAGCACCGGGAGAGAAAGTGATAAACCAAGAGAAGAAGAACAAAAAGAGGACGAATTAAAAGAAGGAGAACTGAGGAGGAATAATCAGAACTAAAGGAGGAACCAGAAATCCGAGGTTAAAGAACGAGCTGGTGTGAGAATGAGGCTCCTGCTGCTTCTGGCTGCTCCGCTCAGCATCCTCAGCCTCCATGTTTCCGTCCCGGCCTCCGCAGGCGGCGTGATCTCCCCGGGCCGGCTGGAGCGCTGGGTCCGCTCCGGCCTCCAGTCTCTGCAGTGGGACCAGCTGGACCGGTGCCTCCGCATGTCCTCGCTCTCCGAGGCGGAGTGCAGGCAGCTCGCCCACCTCCCGCCGTCCGCCGTGGCCGTTTACGTGTCGGAGCCACGCACCACGGCAGGTACAGAGGTCAAAGGTCACGCATCATCACAGTGTTTCTTATTCTGTGTGAGAATCTTATGACGTTTGTGGGGAAAAAGAAGAAAGGAGACAATTAATTTATAAGGATTAAGGTATTAATTGTCTTAGAATAAACATAGTCCACTGATTAAATGTCCTTATTCTCTGCACCACCTTAAAACAAGTCAAAGGGTTTAAATGTTCTGTTTGAAACTCGAATAATAAAGTTGTGATGCTCAAATTCAAAGTTAGATTAATTTCAANCGGGAATTAGAATGTTTCTCACTCCTGCATCTTTGAAAATGCACCTACTTTATTTATTGTCCAACATTTCAGAAGTCTGCTAAAAAGCCTATAGGCACAAGAATGGCTGGGTAGAAATCTGGGTACTCAGTGTGTTCAGCAGAGGAGAAAGCGAATACAGAAAAATGGAGAGACAGTTGTGCTGTAATTAGAACACTTGCCTTCTCATACTCTTCCTCCCCTCACCCTAGCCGAGGTTTGGGTAATTCTCTAGAGTAGCCCTTGTTGGCTTGGCCTTCGTATGAAAAATGCAACATGGATATACAGAGAAATACTCACAGACACACAAATAATGCACTAAATGCCTGCCAGAAAGATGCTTTGATATTGATTTTCTCCAAGTCACACAACCTCAAGATGAGTTTTGATGTTACTATAGAATCATGGCCATAATCATGCATGAGCTGCATGTGAGGAGAGAGAATTTGATTTGATTTTAATTTTTTGATTATATTTACAATTTTGCGGGTACTGTTGAAGTGTGTTGAGGTATTTCTATTTTATTTTACTCCAAAATAGTAAAATTAACTTCCACAATCAAATGTCTCTCTTTAATGGATCATTACAGTTGATTTGTGCTACAATGAGGAGTCTGCTCTTCCACAACCCTTCAGGTTCCTCGGACAAAGTTCTGGCCATCCTGCCGGACTCCTCAGGTGGGACAGTGGGCTCCAAACCTCGGGGAGGCTTCGGCATCAGCCAGATGCCGAATGGACACCAGCAGCCTTTCCCTGGATCCATGGCCCACGATGCCGTGCTGGTGCTGGATCCCAGCCCCGGGGAAAACTTTGGACACCCGGTGGTCCTCTTCTATGTGGACATGAACGTGACGAAGAAGAGATGCTCCCACCTGGACGGCATTTACCTGGGTGAGTCCGTCTGATTTCATTTGTGCAAAGTTCTCAAAACATCTACATTTGACTGTGTATAGTGTGTAATGGAAGTAATGGAAGTATTTATCAGCTAAAAATATAGAATAGAAAGTTTCCTTTTCCCGGATGCACTACAAATAGTACAGACAGCATCATGTGGTCGTAGTAAAATAGTAGCAGCACTTGTGATAGTTCCAAAAGTAGCAGAAGCGATAATAACACCTGATGGTGTTCTGCAGGGTTCTTTTCTCGGCCCATTGCTGTTTACATCGTACAGAGTAATAATCAGTCTCCCTAATCTCTACTTAAATATCTGTTTCTGTGCAGATGATGTGATTTCAAATGTCCCAAACTACTACGACTAAATATTATCTAGATAAGTACATCAACTCAGTAATCTTGACAGAAGACAGAACTACTAATACATTACTAATAGCGGCCAATCCGACAGGTAGGGAGCTTTAGATGGGGCCTTGACGCTGGTGGCAGTGCGGTGGTGAGGGGACGGAATCATAGCAGCATAGAGTGCCATGATAGTGGAGAAAGGCACTATGGGTAAGGTGGCGTAAGGAGAGCCCTGAGCGTGAGGACGAGACGAGGCCTGTCGAGAGTTTTCAGGAGTTCTTGTTGCATCTATACTTAAAGCTGTCTATGAATTTCCCCTTGAACACGTGCACCAAATACACAGTGTGTGTTGTGTGTGTATGTTGTGTGTGTGTGTTGTGTTGTGTTGTGTGTGTGTGTTGTGTGTGTATGTTGTGTGTACTGAGTGCGCTGGTTTTGCCTTTAACTGGAGCAGAAGAGACGAGTTGGACGTGCGTGGACCCATTTATAGCTCATTGTGCGATGCAGGACGTTTTCCTGCTCAGAGGGCGTTCGACCCGACTTCAGCACTTTGTTCCCACAGCTACACCTGCGATGTGTCCGCCTGCGTGTGTTTGCATTTTCTATTTGTGGTTTAAGATTCACGCTAAGGACATTTGCAACGTGGGAATATCTCTGGTTGTTCATCTTTTCCTGTTTTGGTTTTATTATTATGTTCAGACGAAGAATATGAAAATTCAGTTTAATTTCCTTTTAGTTTAGAGCAAAGGATAAGAGAACCAAGGTCAGATAAGAAGGTCCATGTCCCATCTGCTAACATGGAGGAGGTCTGGTTTGTAACATACTCACTCTAATCTGTCTTCTAAAGTTCTAAAAACATGTGTCGGGACCAGCGCCTCTGTTGAGAGGATTTCAAACCTTTCAAACCTTTGTGACATCATCAAACCTCCGTGCGTCTAAAATAAAACGCTCGCTCACAGTGGACAAAAAGCCAAAAGAGTAAAAGTCTCCAAAGTGCTTCATTCATGTAGAAACGGGTCTAATGGGACAGGAAGTCAATGTGTTCTGCGTCGGTCCTCACAGGTTCTGTAAAGTCATCGCGTGTTGAAGTGAGAGTCGCTGACCTCCTGCTGTGAGAGAGGTTGGGGCCAGATGTTGAGGTGAATTTGGCTTCGTGTTGCACAAACACACACCGGTCAATTATTCATGCACACGGAGCACGGGGGGCCCCCTGCTGGGTCCCGTGGACGGGGATCGAACAACATCTCTAAGAGCAAAACTTTCTTTGGGCCAAATTTAACCCTGGAGGAGAGTGGAGGGCGGAGGAGAGATGGAGGAGGGGAAAGGGGGAGAAAATGTGAGATAAACCAGAAGCTCGGGGAGTGAAGGAGATAAATGACAGAGGGCAAAGGAGGTGAAGAGAGAAGTGAAATCAAAAGGAGCACGATGGAGCTTTGGGTTCTTCAGGCTATGTTTGATCTTATAACTTTATTTAACTCCAGCCACGCTGATCGTGGCTCAGTGAAACTGTTAGACGTCCAAGCAGCTGTGGTCCAGCCCCTAACGATCACCAAGATAAGATGAGATGAACGTTTATGTATAATTGTTATGAGTGTGTTTTAAATATCTTGTAGTGGCCTGAAAGAAAAAAGGGTCAAACTCCTTGTGAAGTCACTCAATCTGATCAAAACTGTATCTATCACCTTCTTCACGTCTCCAGGGGACGAGTGTTTGACTCTGGCCCTGAAGGGTCGGTGTCAGAACCAGCTGAAGCGTCGGCAAGCCGGGCCAGAGAGGCTCATGGGTAACGGACACAGCCGGCTGGCGGGTGGGGGCCTGCGCGGCGGCACCGTCAGCACCAGTGGCGGCGGCCGGCTGGTGGAGCGGGCCGTCGGAGGGCTCTGCGAAGTCCACTTCCTGCCGCTGGTGGTCGGGGTCGGAGACAGAAACCGAACGCAGAGACTCAGATGTGTGGGTGAGGAATTCAGCACCGACACGGTTCAAAGGAACATTTAGGATTTTACTCAATAGATAAAACCTCAGGAAACCATCGACACCAACAACATTTCAACTTAGAGACCACAAAAGGTCAGAGGAACAACCAACACCGTCATTATCCATCCAGCGTTCAACTGATTCCACTTCACGCATGTCACTGAAAGTTGATTTTCCAAGCGTTAAGTGACGAGGATTGTTAAAATCCACCTGCGTTTTACAGCTTCAGTCGGGTTCTGTTGCACTTTTCCTGGTGGGAGGCTTTCTGAGCGAAATGCACGTTCTGCCAAGACCACCCACACCCGCAGCCTCCGCTACAAACCTGCGAGTCGTGAGAAAGCTTATGGGGAAAACGTTTTTTTAAGCTGTTATGGCAAACACAGTCAATCCTCAGGATAAAAACCAAAAACCCACTTCCGACATGCTGCCAATATGTGGAGATAAAGTCCTCTTTAATGTTTGGTTGGGTCCCAAGCAAACGGTCTTAATGTCAGGAAATGTGTTTAATGCCCTTTGAGAAGTTGTTTCCGAGACAAACACCTGTGCCCTGACTCCTTCTTTGTTCCTTCCTCCCACAGACCACACAGAGTTTGCGAGGTGTCCTCAGCCGCTGTCGATGGGTTCTCCGAGTCTGCCTGTCTCCAGCTGCGAGCTGAATAAAAACACCCGCCGCTGCCACCAGCAGCCGCTCGCCACTCACCTCTCCTGCCGGCTCTACCAGACCTGTGACCACGCCGTGCTCCTCTCAGGTACGACCCGGCCGTTAGTTTAAAATATATATAAATAATACAAATTAAAACATCACCAACGTCTTAAAAAGGTATTTTCAAACATTGATGTGTAACTGCGATGACTGACCTGCTGCAGGCGGCTGGCAGCAGCAGATGACGTTCCAGCGTCACATTGAAAATCTTCAGAGGTTCTATAAGATGCTGCGGAACAACGGCTTTCATAAAGATCACATCAAGACCTTCTTTGCCAGCAGTGGACAACTTCCTGGTAGGAAGATTTCAATTAAAAAAACACGAAAAAACACTAACGGTGGAAGAAGGATTCATAAAATGTATTTAAGTAAAACTGGATCTACTCAAGTATAAAATACTCCATTAGCCGTAAACATCCTGCGTTTAGATTTTGAGTTTGTCGATAAGTAAAGGTACAAAACTAGACTAAATATAAAAAGTAAAGTTTTAACCATGAAGAACATAGACTGTAGTCCTCCTCCTCCATGTTGGTGAATGGGACGTGTACTCAAAGCTGGTTTTGTCGTTTTATGCAGTTTTTGGTCGAAGCGTTTTTTGGCTTCATTTCTGGTAGTTAGAGGAAGTGGAGACATGTCCTATATCTTTATACACAGTCTGTGACACAGAGCTAGATATAACTGTGACTATACAACTATAAAGCCAGTATTATTATTATATATAATCAGTATTTTATTGTTGCTGTTTGACTGCTTTGTGTTCTTTTGGTGTATTTTGTTTATTCAAATATTTAATCCTCTTGCTGTGAGATTTGCATAAATGAAAATATCTAATTCACATTTCCCTCCGACAGAGGACATGGAGGGCGTGTACTCGGCGACAGAGAAAGCGGTGATTCGTAACCACGTGTCGTACGTGTGCAGGAAGCAGCACTGCGCCGACACGCTGGTTCTCTACCTGAACTCGCCCACACGCAACGATGGCACCATGCTGCTGTGGGACGCCAACCTCAACGGCATCGTAAGAAAAACAAGTGCTGCACACAGTTTAGAAAAAAATTAGTTGTCGGAGAAGTTTTCTGAAAATGAGGACATGAGCTCATCTTTGGCTGTGGTCATCAGCTGCTGGTAAACAGGACATTTAATGAATCTAACGTATCTTCTGTTAATATGTCGGATCAGAGGGCTGCGTGTTTGAACACTGTAATCAAACGCATGCGCAAGAGGGAACATTTTAGCTTTTATTCTGGAGAGTGGGAGGAAGTGGAGTCCCGTCGTCCATCTTTAAATACAGTCTATGAGAAACCCCAATAAATATTGTAATAATGCGATTTGAGGAATTTGAAGAAACTTCGTAGATCATCAAACTCATCTGCAGCAGTTTGTTTTGAGAATGCGAGAAAAGCCTCTGAAGACGTACGATTGGACGACCCACCCTAAGTGTCTTCTTCCTTCCTTTCCCTCTCCAGGCCGATCTGAAGGAGCGATACTCGGTCAACGAGCTGCTGGCCGACCTGGCCGGCTGCAGGGCCACTCGCGTCCTGCTCTTTGTGGATCAGAGCTACAGCGGCGTTCTGTCCAAGAGGCTGCGAGGGTCCCAGAAACACCTCAACGTGGTCCTGATCCCAAAGCAGTCGCGGCAGACCCACAACCACCACAACCAGAGGGTGAACGCGGGCTCGGAGGACGGCAGCTGGTCCTACATCCGCCCTGCGATCTGCCTCCTGGACCACCTGGGGAAGGTAACATAACTGTTAGCCGTTAAGTTTAATTTCTTGCGTCACTCTTCTAAACGACCTCCTGACCTCTTCCACTCACGATGCCTTTCAGGCTGCGGGGATATCTCACCTGCTGGAGCCGTGGGCCGGCCTCTTGAACGTGACGCTGGCGGGCGCCCCCTGCAACGCCACGCCGCCGCTGACCGACGGGGAGATGCGACGAGAGTACCAGGGCTGCCAGAACCTGCCGACCGCGCTGTGGCACCAGAAACACAGGAGGACCAACTGAGAGAGAGAGAGAGAGAGAGAGACACTGAGACTGACCAGGAGAGAGAGAGAGATTTATTATGGACACACACATACAAACACACACACACACACACTCACACTCACACTCACACTCACAGGACACACACAAGGTGTTTGCGGTGTGTGTGTGTGTTTGTGTTGACTTATGTTGCAGTGTGCTTGGTGGACGCTGAAGTGTGTGTGTCCTAACTCTGAACTCGAAGACTGTAACCATGGCGATGACAGCTCATCCCAATGGGAGTGTCCTGAACGCCATGTTGTGTGTGTGTGTG